GCTTTCCCTTTCGCCTCCCTGCATTGTGCCTACATATGCAAATTAACCGCCATTTTTGTTGGCAGTTAACTGCCATCTGAGTTGGCAGTTAATTTGCATATTGCCCTGATTAGCCAATGAAAAGGGTAGCGTCGTACGCCAATTACCATTTTTCTCTGTTATTAGTGTAGATATGAAATGATGTTCTGAAATGGCATATAATTAAAGGGGACTCTTGAAATATATCCCCTCAATGACATATCTCCATGTTGGCAGATGCAGCTGAAAATAATGAAGAAACTATGTACTGATCTAGAAAGAACCAGGGATCCTTGGAGGAATGGCTGATTCTAGGTACAGGTTAAGAAATACAGATGAGCCTGAACATCCTGCTGTGCCAGAAAGCTATCAAAAACTAATGAATTAGCAATAGGACATTATGATTTTCCACATAAGAATTCCATCTAGCCCTAGCCAGTTTGGCTCAGTGGATAGAGCGTCAGCCTGCGGATGCAAAGGTCCCAGGTTCGATTCCGGTCGAGGGCATGTACCTTGGTTGCGGGCACATCCCCAGTAGGAGGTGTGCAGGAGGCAGCTGATCGAAGTTTCTCTCTCATCGATGTTTCTAACTCTCTATCCCTCTCCCTTCCTCTCTGTAAAAAAAACCCAATAAAATATATATTTATAAAAAAGAATTCCATCTAATACAAAAGGAATAACAGAATTAGAAAAAATATCAGTTGATAGTGCCTAGTGAAATAAATAGTTCAGGTAACAATGATCAATGAATGGAATATTAGAAATTGCAAGACTGATTGGGAAATTTTAATGGAGAGATCAGGCCTACTGTATTATTAAAAAAATGGGACCACTAAATACTGATACAATATTAAGCACTTATAAATTTATAAAGTATTTTGAACCAGAATTGAATCAAGCCTCAAGGGCCAACTTTCATTTTAAGGAAATATAGGGAACAGAGGAACAAAATAATCACACCACAAGTAAACAAAAGACAAATCCAGGTTTCTGGATATTCTACAGGACACCTGACAACAAGACAATAGCAAACAAAAAAACAAAAAACAAAACAAACAAAAAATGGGGGAAAAAACAACTAAAAAACAAACAACAGACAAAATAAAACAAGAGAGAAGGAAAGGGACTACTACATTTTAAAAAGGCATAGAAAAAACACTGATGAGAGAGAATCATTGATCGGCTGCCTCCTGCACATCCCTTACTGGGGATTTGGCCCGCAACTTGGGCATGTGCCCTTGACTGGAATCGAACCACCACCTCCTGGTTCATAGGTCCACGCTCAACCACTGAGCCATGCCGGCCAGGCTAGAAACTGTATATTTAATAATGAAAAACTGAAATATTGAGAAGATGGATAATAAACAGCTCCGTCGCCCTAGCTGGTTTGGCTCAGTGGATAGAGCACCAGCCTACAGACTGAAAGGTCTTGGGTTCAATTCAGCCCGGGTTGCAGGCTGGATTCACAGTGTGGGGCGTGCAGGAAGGAGGCAGCTGATCAGTGATTCTTTCTCATCATTAATGTTACTATCTCTTTCTCCCTCTCACCTTCCTCTCTGAAATCAATAAAAATATATTTAAAAATAAATAAATAAAATAAATAGACAAAAAGGCATAAAGCCTAATGTAATGTGTGAATCTTATTTGGATCCTGATTAGAACCAATAACTATAAAAATGTATTTGAAACAATCAGGGAAATCTGAGACAGGGTATTAGAGGCTACAAATAAATTATTACTTTCAATTTTCTTATATATGATAACGGCATTTTAACTGTATAAGAAAACATCCATGTTTTTAGAGATACATACTGAATTAGTAGGGACAAAATAATATTCTGTCTGGGATTTTACTTAAAGACACGACAGTAAAGGAAGAAATGGAGATAGTTTAAGCAAAGGTAGAAAAATACTGACAATTTGGATAATGACTATATAGGTGGCAGTTTCTCATACTATTCTCTCTTCTTTTTTATAAGTTCAAAAATAGAAAAAAAACCACCTAAATATTAATGCAAGTAGCACCACATTAAGCATCAGTAGTAGGTATAATGCCGGGGGGTGATCATGACTAATAGACTTCTGTTCCTGTAAAATATGTATTTTGTAATTAAATATTGACTTAGATTTAAAAGGACAAAAGTGATTTATAATAGAAGATTGCTCAGATGATCATGTCAAAGCTATTAACCCCTAGAGTGCCGGGGAGCGCGATCACGCTCCTCTTGTCTTTCGCCAAAAGTGCCGGGAGCGCTATCACTATCGCGCTCCTCCTGCAGTGTCACTATTAGATGCTAGTATTTCACTCTTTATGTGGGAAAAAAAATTTAAAAACCTTAACTCAAAATGCCTTGGCAATTATAGCATAGTTCCTAGGATGTTGGTTGGCACTCAAAGGGTTAAATTTGCTTTAGTAGCAAACCAGGACAAGTTCTGTGTAAAGGCTTTCTGAATGAAATGTAATATAAATATAAAGATTTTCTATTTTGTCTTAATATAAGTCCAAATATTACTTCAAGACACTAGTACATATAATTATACATAAAATGCACATATGCACATTAAATACACAAGCAAGCCATACAGAAATCAATTATCCAATACAGAATATGGTTTTATTCCCTTACCATCAATATTAAGCATCATTTTCCACATGGCAGGACGAACAGATTGATGGAATCCAAACCATACCTCCCTGCCCCCTCCCAGAGGGTGGTCATATCCTTCTGGAGCCGAGAAAAATGAACGCCCCACAGGTGTATATCTACAAAAATTAAAATGGCATGTTCAATCCTTTCCTTCCTATATAAGTATTTAAATATGCAGAACAGGTGAGTCTAGAGCACATAAATTATCATGCTTATCATTAAGGATATATGAAACTAAACATTTTCCAAATTTGTAAAAGGAAAAAGCAGCTATTTTAACGGAAAAAAAATCTGTATCCTTCACTGCAACCCTATATTGTCATAATTAATGTTAGTATGAATAAGAACGAATTTTAAAATACTTTCTTTAAAATAAGTTTTAAAAAGTTAACAGCTCCAATCTTAGAAAATGCTAAATAATTACTGATCAAAAAGCTATTTCTATAAACATATTTGTAAGACATAATATTTTTCTTTAAAAAGACACAGCCTGCCCTAGCCGGTGTGGCTCAGTGGATAGAGCGTTGGCCTATGGACTGAAGAGCCCTGGGTTTGATTCTGATCAAGCGCACATATCTGGGCTGTGGGCTCAATCCCCAGTAGGGGGCGTGCAGGAGGCAGCCTATCATAGATTCTCTCTCATTGATGTTTCTATCTCTCTCTCTCTCTTCCTCTCTGAAATCAATAAAAATAAAAAATAGTTTAAAAAAAAAGACACAGCCTATCTGGTCCTATATAAGCACAGACACACACATACACATGTGAGATGCTAGTGTGATTAAAACAACAGCAATTTCAACACAATTTGATACTATTGTATCAACAATGAAATTACCTTTAAAACAAGGTGATTTAACTATAGCCTTATATCTGAAAACACATCAGTTGCTCAAGATTTAAAGCTCTTAGGAGAAAGGGTTAGACATTTTTCTAAAAAAATATCCATTAGAATAGCTAAACTAATAAGGCGCATTTATTTTCAAACGTCAGAGAATTTTCTGTAACTTACATATATCAATGAACTTGTATGCATGCTATTCTTTTTAAAAAATATATTTTTTTATTGATTTCAGAGAGGAAGGAAGAGGGAGAGATAGAAACATCAATGACGAGAGAAAATCATTGATCAGCTGCCTCCTGCACGCCCCTTATTGGGAATCAAGCCCACAAGCCAGGCATGTGCCCTTAACCAGAATCGAACTCAGGATCCTTTGGTCCACAGGCCGACACTCTATCCACTGAGCCAAACCAGGTAAGGCTACATGCTATTCTTCAACTGAAATATTCAAAATATACAACATCTGAAGATTAACCAAAGGAGGCCTGCACAACTCTTGGGAGGAAAGCCTTCATACTTAAAATCTAAAGATGAAAAAAAGCCAGAAGCACCCACTTCATGGAGGGCAGATGTCGTAGCACCACATCAACGGCATGGACAGGATTAGTGCTGATTGGCTTGTCTAATTCCAGTGGCTCAGGCAAGGTCCGTCCTGTCAGTACTTCATGTAGTAGGTGCCAACTCACCCGAGAGACAAACTTGATTGACACCTTGAAAGGTCGATCTTTTCCACCTTCCCCAGGGAGAGTAACATCTAAATCTACCTGTTAGTGAGAAAAGAGTCATCTGGTCAAAGTTGAAAAAGATAAATACAATTATTTTTAAGTTTAACTTACACAAATATTTAAGAGAAAACAAGGCAAATATAAAAAAAACACACCAATCTCAATGTTAAAAAAAATAGACTAACATTTAAATGACAGTTATTTATGCCAGCATTGTCATTAAAAAATACTGAAAACTGCCTAAATGCTATTAAAGAAAAAAGATGAAGAATATCTCTTGGAATTGTTATGGAATTATTTCCAAGCTATACTGCTAAGTGAAAAAAAAAGGGCAAAGTACAGAAGATTACAAATAGTATGCCATCTTTTATGTGAGAAAAAAGGGAAAATGGAAAAATCTTTTTGTATTTGCTTATTTATGCAAAAAGAAACACAGGAAACATAAACCAGAAACAAAGAAATTGGTTACTTTAAAAGGATGGAAACAAACTGGGAGAAATAAGAGAGATTAAGAGTGTATTTTCCAGTATATTCTAACTTTTGGAAACATCCTATCTAATAAAAGAGAAACATGGTAATTGGCATACGACCGCTACCCTTCCCATTGGCTAACCAGCGAGATATGCAAATTAACTGCCAGCCAAGATGGCGACCGGCAGCCAGGCAGCTTGAAACTAACATGAGGCTTGCTTGCTTCAGTGACAGAGGAAACCA